TGCCATAGCTATAGTTAGTAGTGAGTGTGTGTGTGTGCTCGAGTGTTAGAGTGATGCGTGTGGGATATCCAGGGTGATCCAGTGTATGTGAACAGTGAGATGTTTGTGCGCTGAGGTCGCCATAGCCAATTGGGAGTGAACTCGTATCTGAAAACCATATCTCTGAGTTTTGAGTGGGCGCATGTCGCCAGTGTGCTGCGTTACTGTTTACATGTGTGAAAAGTGTGTTTGAAAACGAGTCTGATTGCAAACAACACCATGGGCTAAAAAAAAAAAATGCGCTGCAGCCAACCGGGGGGGAACCGGCCCGATCGACCGGCCGGTAGGACCGGTCCGGTTCCGGTTGGGGGAGGACCCCCCGGTCCTACCGGGTTTTTAGCACTGGCGGAGAGCAGACTTTGCTCACAATGGCAGCGGAGTGGCGGACCGAGGCCGAGAATGGCAAGATGGAGCGAGAATTGCAAGATGGAGGATAGCGAAAATATGATCGCTCTACTCCTCTCCCATCTCACAGACCTCCTAGCGACATGCATTACACAGCAGGAGGACATCCATAGCCTCGACGACGCACTGACTCAAGTCCACGGCCGCCTCCGGCAGCTGGAGCAGCGACCTGTCGACGCCCCCGGTGCAAGCTCTTTCAACACCTCCGATCGCCTCGAAGCATTGGAGATGGACGTCGGCTCCCTCAAGGACGGTGTGCAGTTACAGCAGACCGCAACGCAACAATTGGAACAGCGGATCTGTACTACCGCCAACAACTCAAGTTCGGAACCGCGCGAGACAGCTCCAAAGTTTGACGGGCAGGAAATCTTCTCCGACTTGACGAAGACAGATCCGATTCCATGGTTCCGCAAGTTCGAGCTCACGCTACAGCTACACTACGTCAAGGAACACAAGCACCACGCGTACTTATACTCCCGGTCGGGGGGCGCGTGCCAGGCATGGTTGGACAATTTCTTGTCCAAGTACGGAGTTGTAGCTAGCGACTTGCACACCAAGATCAACTGGGATGATCTGAAGGCGGCATGGCACAAGCGGTTCCAACTCGAGCCACCGGAGATCAAGGCAATGGACAAACTCATGGTCTTCGAACAAGGCACGCTACCGAGTGTCGACTGGATTGCCGAGTACCAACGCTTGACATCAGTCCCAGACATCCAGATGGGCTTCAAAGCCATCCACCACTATTTCATCTCAAGATCGTGTCCGACATTAAGCAATGCCCTGACTCACGTCGAGGACACCTTGATGACAACAGCGGAACTTTTTGACAAGGCCGCGCGGATTATCATCACGAACAAGGAGGCTAAGAACCTGCGTTCGCCTGCGCCAGCCCCGAGCAGAGACCAGCATCGGCCAAGAGTGGCCGTGGTCGCGGCGGCAACGCCTTTTGACCAATCTAGCGAGGCTGTGTCTGCCAATGAAGGGGACAGACTCGCAGCCGCTCGGGAAGGTGGCCGCCCCTGCAAAGGCCCAGGACGCGGTAAGACGAAGACAAACACCGCATCTAGCCCCGGGCCCGGCGCAGCAGCTCAAGCCCCATGGTCCCAATACGGCATCTCCGAGCAAGCATTCAAAGCACGCACGAGATTCCACTATTGCCTATGGTGCAACAACGATCTCCATGAGACGCTGGCCTGCCCATTGAAAGGCAAGGGCAAATCGGGAAACTAAGCACCGTCGAGAGTGACTCGACGACACTCTCGACGCCTTCGGAACCGGTCGCTTTGCGGGTGACCACCCTTCGTTCCAAGGCACATGCGGAAGTAGATAGTCCTCCTCTTCTATATTCTTTCGAGGACTATGCTGCCCGGCTCGTTCCTACGCTGGGTACTCAAGCTCAAGGACAAGACGTGTGTGCGGCATCTTCTCCGTCCGGCAGCGGCGACTTATCGTCTTCAAGTGGTTCTTCACGGGATTCGGCGCGCGAGTTCAACATAGAGGTATTGGACCCGCTCACGTCCAAGGACTTCGCATGGCTTCCTCTCCCGACCACAGGCCGCCTGCCGGGACCGCAATGCGCAGCACTATGCGCTCATCTCCACACGTACTTATCCTTCTATGCACCACCAACTTCACCGACGGATGACGAAGTCGCGGTGGGGGACATCCTTGCGTATGTTACCAAGGTGGCCCGCGAGTTACGCACGCAGAGGTGCGATGACAACAACGCACCGCTCATGTATGTCCGCATCCAAGTTGGGCAAGCGTGCTGCAGCACTTTGCTGGATAGCGGCGCGTCTCGCAACTTCATGAGCCAAGCCTTTATGCAAAGGGCTGGCCTTGGCACACAAGTTCGGAGGAAGGCAAACCCGACGGCGATCAAGTTGGCGGATGGAGCAACTTCTCGACCGTTACATCGAGGCCGTACCTGTTTATTTCGCACCTCATGCATTTTGGACATGGACTTCGACATCATTTTGGGAATGCCTTGGCTTGCAAGTGCGGATCACACGATCAACTTCCACCGGCGGACTCGTAGCGTTCACGACGCCTTTGGCGCCGAAGTGGCGTGTACTGTTCCTCTACCGCACCCTTTGATTCGGTGCCAAGTGGTGACGGCCAAATCATTCCGGGCAACTTGCGCTTACGAGCAGCCCGAGGAAATCGGCCTATATTTCCTACGGACCGTCGCGGTAGCCGACTCTTCACCCACGGACTTGTCTTCGGACCCCCGGGTGGTGCGGTTGCTGGACGACTTCGCCGACATCTTCGAGTCACCTACCGGTGTGGTGTCGGATAGGCCGATCTCTCAAGAGATCATTCTTGAGGCCGGTGACGTGCCGCCGAAAGATTGCATCTATCGGATGAGCGAGGAGGAGCTTGAGGTCCTCCGCGCACAACTCGACGATTTGTTGGCCAAGGGCT